TTCCGGCTTGTTATCGTAGCAGGTCACCGTGAGGTGATAACACCACGAACAAAGTTTTTTTCAACACATTAAAAATGAACATGTGGCCTAGAAAAGCGCATTACCGTACCCAAATTTTTACTGCCAGGGTGACGTCAAATATATAAAATAGTTATCAGGTAAAACCATTTGTTAAAACATAAGGTCTATGGTTAAAACCAAGCTCACGCCGCGACTTGTAGCGGCAACATCGTCACCGCCGAGTGGAACAAAGGCAGCTATGCACTTGTATGATCGGTAAACGACCAGCGCAGCCAACGTACCATCACAGACATTGCTGATTCACCAAGAAGTCCACATGAATGCTTGCTTGAACATGTAAATGTTTATATTTAAAGTTGAATTTTCTTTAAATCACGATTTAAAAACCCTGGTAAAACGGCCATGCTTTCAACTCGCATCATAAGTGGAGGAAATAAATTTACTTGTGTTCTTGAAACAAATATTCTGATTGGTTGTTTTTCGCGTCAATGCGTGGCTTTAGCCAATCAAAAGCATCGTTACATAGTATCAGGGTGCACACAGTAAAATGAACTGTTTCCAGGTCATAGCTGTTTTCAACGAAGCAGACATCAACAAACTTTCGATTCAAATGAAAATTATTCTTTTAAGTATGTATTTTGTTTTTTATACCTAATTCTATTATTTTTGATAGTAACCGTTAACTGCAGATCGAAAATCTTCTATTGTGTACATTTTATTTCGTTTGATCATCTTGCTTTTTGGTGGCATTCATGCAAGTTTTTTTAATGAACCAATTACGAACGTTTGTGCGACATCATACATTTTATTTCGCCGCGTGATGAATCGTGCAGCTAAAATCAGCTGATTGTACGTGCTGACGTTTACTTAATAGCTCTTCAAAATTCTCATTTATTTTGTAATAATATATATTATGCATATGAATAATATGTAATAATAGTAGATTAATAGATTTTTTGGTTTCCATTTTTCAACATCCTTGCCAATGATGCACGTTACAAATGTACCACGCCCACTTCACATTGGCGCGCCCTGTTTAATTTTCAAACCGTGGAGAACCCTGAACATGCTCAGCAGTGTAAAATTTTGTTATCACCCATAATGCACTGCATACATGTGCAGTAACATGCTCAGTAGTGTACAATTTGAATTCAACTCAACCGCCTTAAAGTGTGCCCTCTATGGCAATTAGGTATCATTTTTAGGGTTAGGCAAACAAATTAGCAACTTTCCTTTTTTTTTAAATAACATTGCTTCATCTTCAACTAAACTACGTTTCTCTGGAGTTTGAAACTTCAAATCAAAGAATTGTTTTTTTCAGAATGCTGTGAATTGTCCGGCAACAATTGCATCAACTCACCTGTTTTTAACAAGCCAGTAATCTGAGGAATCTTCTGTACCATATCCCACCGTCAATACACCATGGTCTAACTCTGTACTGCTGCATTCTGGTTCAATGTACACACCTGTAACAAATCAAAATTGAGAATTGTAAACGTTTTAGAAAATCATTTGCAGATTTCGTAAAGTATTCTGGGTCAAGTATTCCATCAAAACCAGGACTATCTGATTAACAACTGCTATAGGACTTCTTTAAAATGGCCTTGTAATATGGAGGTTAGACTATTTACAATGTAATGTCAACTCGAACATTTGACATTTGTCCAGAAAATTGCGAGACGATAGTTGCAATAAAACATCAGTTTATCAACTTCAAATAGGTTTGAGGAAATTAAAAATTCTATAAATGGAATGCTAATTATTTTAGTCACTAAGCAAAAGCATCTGGAAAAATATTGTGGAAAGGGTGGTTACACAAGACAGGTGGTCATTACAGATTTTTCATACGTTACAGATAGCTCATGTTATGCCTTGGGACTGCTTCAAAGAGGCCACTATAGAAAGGTGGTTATTCACAAAAAATTCAAAGCTTTTTCTAGATAAAACTTACCACTTGAGTAAAACTGAAATGATTGGTGACTTGCATCGATAGCCACAGATACTGGTCCTACCGAGGCCACAGCTTGTTGTAATGCTGACTCGCTCCCACTCTCTACATCAGTGTAACCAGTGCAGGTGGCAGCAACATCGCTAGCTTTGAATCGACAGTCACCATCCTGTAATAAACATACAAATCTAAGTAGGTAACAAAGAAAACATCTTCTTGGCAAAAAAGGAAAAGAAAAGTTCATGGCAAAAAGTCAATGACAACGCCCCAAACAAAGTTTTGATTGTGCCCTTGGATTCGTACACGTTGAATTCTTTGGTAAAAAAATGGTTTAAAATGCGTGCCGCGTAGACAGTTTGAACATCTTTCATGAAATTCATTCACGTGCATTATGAAAGCATACTTTTACACACTCCAAATTAACAATAAATGCCCTAATAAATATGCAAATTAATCGCAACTCTGAGACTCCTGGCGTTAGCAATGCATGATATAATTTGAGAATTCACAAAAACAAAATTTGATAAGTACACCTGAGGTACGATACATGTTTAATATCAAAGCAATCAACTTGCGGTTTTCAACTATTCAAAAATATCACTTTACTAAAAATTGCCAAAAATATTCATTCGAATTAGAACTGAAATGAACAAATCTAAAGTTAATAATACACCGAAGTAACTGCTATCAGTCTTGCAGTTTTCAAGAAAAGTTCAACAAAATCGTTGACGTGGGCAGATATAGATATTCAATAATATTGATTAGCTCCGCTCAACAAAGTGGACAGCAGAGCTAAAAAAAAAAGTAATATTTAGTATATCACATCTTTTGCTTGGCAATACTTAAGTCAATAAGTACAATACTCACCACGCCTTCATATGGATAAGATTCTTCACTGTCTATACCATTATTGACTTTGACGTATTCAAACGCTTGATCCATTAAACCACCATTGCATCCAGCATTACCCTGTGTTGTGGAACAGTCTACCAAATTCTGTTCACTCAGATCTGGTAGTTTACCAGTTTTCTTGAATGTCTGACCCTCCAAAGACCCAGTAGCACTGAATGACCAACAAGATCCACACTGACCCTACATAAATTAAAAAAAAAAAATACAAAATTAATATAACTTCAACCAGTCAATTTCGTTCATCTGAACTGAATCACAAACAATGTGATTCGTAATCTGATGGGTTGGTTATTAACAGTCTAGCGTTAAAATTGATCAAGTGATGCGAGATTGCCTTCAAGCTTAAAAATATGGGAAACTGACAAAAAGATGGATCAAAACAAAGCAATTGTTTTAATACTGAAACTATTTTAGCTGGAATTAATTTTCGCTAAAAAGACGAAAAAATGGGGAAAGGCATATTTGTTGGATTTCATTTTTCACTGAATTATCCCTTCAGCAAAAATTTTCCAGTATTCATAATTATGCTTGTACAAGTAATCTAAACCAGGCGTTGCTTTTTGAAATTTCTCCTCTGAACAAGATAATGCGAGTAATTAAGGAAACTTGTTAAAATCTACTGAAAATGTTATGGATTGTGAGAGTGACAATGACTTCCCCTGGGTCTTGATTTTGGCAAATGATACACAAAGCAAGTCGAAAGTAAGCTGTGTAAAATGCATGCTGTGTCAAGCGGCAATCTGGATAACTTGTCTATACTTTGATAACAAAATTAGGGCATGTTTTATGAAAAAAATATTACCACTCATTAACACTATTACTCATTAAATGAAATATTGAAAATTTGTTTTAATCACCTGTCTAATAAAATACTTGCTCCCAAAACATAATACAATCACTAGTTTCTCTGAAGATGCACCATCAAAGTTAATTAAACTTGGTTAAAAATACTCAAAAAAACCAACATGTGCAAGTATGGCCTTACCTGATCTTTAACTTCTGTGACGTAACCTTGAGCTCTCCAATCAACAGTTTCAGGAAGCAAAATGTTGCTAGGTGACAAGAATAATGATGCCGAATGACTTTTGGTTTCGTTTGTCCTCATTTTGTAGCCATTTAGCATCGCCCTGAATTCATTGTTTTTCTGAAAAAAAGATAAACAAGTCATTGAAATTGACAGTCGCCATTAAATTATTGAAAGTTCTCTCTGCGCTCATATTAAAGTGAAGGAGTTGTCACGAGCGTGTCCTTGAATATTAAGTCAAAGTGTATACAACAGATTGTTTATTTACATCAAATTCAAACGCACGTTGCATGGCGACCCCTTTGGTTTAAGACATAGCAAAGAAAAACATAGATCACAAGTGAAAGCATGTCCAAGTTATCACATTTTAAATAAACAAGAAGGCCGCCAGTATTTGATCAGATTGCAAATTGAATTGATATGTACATGTATCCATTTATGACATGCTAAATATCAATGACAGTGATACACGAAGTGACAGAGATATAGTAATATGGCCAAAAATAAAAACGGCCGTTATTCAACCACCTTTGATCTGATTATGAAACACACTGATATGTATGATGTATGTGCCAAATACAAATGAAAATGGTACATAAATTGTGGAAATATAGGAGTAAGGCCAAAAAGTCAGATGGCTATCAATCAGCCGTTCTTGATCCGATTTTGAAACAAATTGTCATTGACATTTATTCTAACATGTATAAAGTATGTGCCAAATTTGAATGAAAATTTGAAAAGCATGTCCAAAATGCAACATTTTCAAAAACAAGATGAATTGAATTGAATTACCTGAATTGCTAAACCACTGCATGTGCACATGTCCCATATAAAGTACTAGACACATGCAAAGAATGAACAGAATCTGTCCAAAGGATTCTGAAATACGACCCCGACACCAAATTATAAGTTCCTGTTTTCGGACTTTGTCTGAACAGGGGACTAGTAAAATACTTGAATATTGGATTTCATGACAAAGTATGTGTACAACTATGTACAACTTGCCTCAATATATTCCAGTTTAACACTGCATATTAAACTGGATGTTTGAAAAGTGACGTTT